CAATGAGGGGTCCTAAGTTGGGAAGGTTGGGCCAATTACGGGAGATCGGGATCGGTAGGAAATTGCATCAGTGTCCTTGCTTTTTCGTCTTTTCCATCGCTTCTTTTCGAATGGCTGGGTTCGGAGCTGGGTGTGTCTTGGGATGGCCAATTGATTGATTGGTTGACCGAATGGCTGGCGCGCCACCACGCGCGCGATTAATAAATGTTGACGTCGTTTCTTTCGTTTCGGTTTCGATCTTTTGGGCGCGGACATCGGGCGGGAATTTGCTTCGTTCTTTTTGAATTTTTCTTTTGAGTCTTTTTCGAATTTTGTCGAGCCCCGATAGCTCTCGGAATTTCGGACCTTCCCTCTGAAGTTGTGCTTTTTGCTTCTTCGCCTTAGATAGGAATTTAGGAATTCAGTAATTAGGATTTTTCTTGCCGCGCAGCGCCTTTTGTCTACACGCTTCTTCATGCAGCTGCAACGGTACTCTGATTAGTAGGCACCTTTAATCGTGTGTGTAACTGTAATTTTGGGCGGGCGCCATTGTAATTGCATCTTTCTTCTTCCTCTTCGTCCTTCCCGCCCTCCTTCTCTTTCTTTTGCTGCGTTTTTGAAACTGACGGGTGCGGGAGGACTAAGCGGGGTGACGACTTCGTGGGTTGGTGCGCGACGACGGACTGTCCGCATCGGAGAAGAAGAGAGAGGGAGAGAGAGTTGAGGTGGATGGATGCGGAGCTGCTGTTTCTTTTGTCTCTTCTTCCCCCTGTCTTGTGTATATAAAATTTTGATTTCGGCTTCGGGCAGTTCGCCCGTTCTTTTCAATTTATCGGAATTTGGACCTGGGGTTTTTGCTTACATTTGCCCTCGCGACTCTCCCATCTTTGACGTGCTATGTGTATGATTACGGAATGGACGGATGTATGGATGCCATGTTTGATTGCCTATCTTTTTGCTGAGGAACCCTCGTCCTTGCTTTTGTTGGTCGCATTCGACGCACTCGTGTGTAGAATAGGGATTTTGCGCAATCGATAATCATGTCTTTGTCTCTGCTTGTCTTTTGATCGAGCTGTTTGTGATCATTGCATCTTGCATAACTCAGAACATCACGAAGTGATTAGGYGGTCGGATGCCGGGCTCGGTGAACGCCGCGCGAGGACACGTGTAAGACGCGATCTAAGTTGCGTACTTACACATATCCCCGGGCGTCGACTCATCGGGACCATCAATCCGTCCGATTGAGAAGTGGCCATCTCGAAATCCGCAACGACACAATTGTCCCGCACAAGCACGCGTAAGTCCGGCGACAGTCACGCGGCCTGCACGTGCTCGCACACAACGACCGTGATCCGTCCTTAGGCAACTCATAATATCGCAATGTCATGATGACGCGATCCTGGGATTCCGACTCATCCTACGGCCGGGATTATTTCACCCCTTTGATAAATGAAATCCTAAGGCAGTGATACCCCTGCCACACTGAGAATCGACTATGTCCGCGGGAATTCCACTGTGCCACCTCTAGCGACCCCCGGTGGTCTGATTTCCCTTTTCCCGACCATACCTACTACTTCATCCACCCGGGATTTGTCGTCATCACCACCAGCTTCCCTCCCTTTCGCCTTCTTCTTCCGTGCCATCAACTCAGTGTCGTTTCGTGGCCGACCATAGCCCCCTATTGGCCTAGTACACCCTGCGGGAACTGCCGACGGCGCGGCGATCAAAGAACCCCGGAGTTCTAAAGACCTAGCTCGCACGTGCGACGACCAGCGCCACGTGGTAACTCCCGACAGACGAACCCATCGGAACCCCACCTACCCCGAAGGGACCAACCCCCGAGCCGCCGTTCTCGAAACCAATGGCTCGGTCGATCCTGAGCGAACCACACTTGTAACCCGAAAACGCCCTCTTCGCCAAATTACACCCGTGCCCCCGAAAGACCCTGTCACAGGAGATCTCAGTTCTGACCTAGGACTCCACTCTCCCCCAAAAATCCTTGGCACATCCCTTTTCGCACTTCCAGGCCCACATCCCACTCCGATCAGGAAGTCGCGTTGGGCGTGAGGTTGGTATCGGAGCCCGACACGTGGCTGGGTCCTAGGATTACTAGCACGCTAATTAGGCGATCTGGCTAACCGAGGGCGGCCTCGCCCCCGAAACGCGCATAGACGCGACCCTGTCATCACCCGAAGCAGATCGGCTAATCGACAAGCAACCAATATGGCTGTTAATGTGCAAAATCCGAATCCGCAACAGAATGATAATCAACCGAATCCTAATCAACCCGCCCCACGAGCACGGGCTCCTATGACGCCACCTGATCTCTATCTATTCGATCTAGCACACCATCTCGCAGGAGCATGGCTGGCCACACTTAGAGCGCAGCAATACGGCGATAACGAAGCTCAGGTAAACATGCCCGCTCGATTAGGAGGAGACGCTCATCACTGGTTTAGTACCTATGTATGGGTAGATCTTCAGACCTTCGAACAAGACTTTCTGAATCCATTTGATTATGTTCACCCAGAGCAAGCGCTTTACATGATCAAGGATCGGGTGCAAAAACCTCTCGAATCCGTCGCAGAGTATCGAAACCGGCCGAATGTTTGTAAAAACTGAGCGAGGCGAGGAAGTAGGGAGAGACCTGTTCATAGACGGACTCCGCAACCGAACAATAAGGGCGAAGCTGCGAAAGCAGTTTTCCCCCATCAATCACACGCTACAGCAGATCATGGCCGCCGCAAAAGAAATGGAACGGAAGTTCGCGGTGAACTTCCTGGAAGGAGAAGACTACTCTAGGGAAGGAGATTCATCCGAGCTCATAAGAGCCAGAGCTGAACTAGCTGCGCCGCAGAACAAATTTGAAAACATGGGGTTTGTGTCAGGTCATGTCACCTACATGGAACAGATAGCCCCTAAACGACCAGTTCCAAGTGAGATCCCGAGTGTCCCTGTCCCTGTAATGTCAACGCCTGTAAGAACGGCACCCCCGCCCCCAGTCGAGACTCTCGTACCATCGAATGAATCAACTGCCATACTTGAGCTGACCAAAACTTTGGTTAGTCTCATTCAGGAAAGCAAAAAGGAGCAGCGAGTGCACAATGCTTGGTTGGAAGCCATGATGAGGAACATGCGGCCCATTGCAGTGCGTGCCCCTCCGATTCAGCAAGGGTTAGCCCCGACACCCACTCTTGGAGGAGTCGCAAGCAATTTGAACGTCTGTTATGCATGTCATCAACCTGGGCATCTAGCACGTGATTGCCCTCACAGGCCTCCGCAACAACGTGTCGGGGTCGTGCCGATGGCCGCGGCCCCCATCGCTAACGGACCAGGACGAGTAAGAGCTTTGATGGAAGAAGTAGAAGGTGGGGGAAGTGCCTTAGCCACCATGGAAGAAGCCGCCGAGCTAATTCCGTTAGATCAGTACGTATCACTTGGTTATCCCGGGCTTGGAATGATCGGAACGATCAGACCAGCACAAGAACTGAAAGAGGTGGTGGAGTGGCGACCTTCCACAAGAGAAATGGAGTCGGGAGGACCCACCTTCGTCACTGGGGAAATCGATGTGCTTAACATCGTTCGAGCCTTGGACCATCAGATTCCGCTTCCGATCGGTCATTTGCTTTCGATCTCGGAACAAGCTAATGAGCAAATGCTACATCACTGCAAGGCGAACCGAAAACGATTCGCCCTCGCTCGAATACCGAATGTAAAGTCTAAAAACCCCACGCCCGAGGAAAACCCGGTTGGCCTGTCGGATCCAATTCGGGTAGGGTTAATCCAGAAAGACGATCATTTCCTGCGGATTAAATCCATCCCATGGAAATCCGCAGAATGTGATATTGAAATTTGGGGAATTCCTTACAACGCAATTATAGATTCGGGAGCGGCGGTGTTGGCTATTTCACTAAGAGTGGTTGAAAGGGCAGGAAGGAAAAACGATCTGATCATGCTTTCTGAGAAAGATCAGCTCGTCTCGGCTGACGAAGAAAAGATTAAAACAATAGGGAGGATGACCAATGTCGCTTTTCGATTAGGAAAGGGGCATGCACTGGGAGATGTTGTCGTATTAGATGTGAATACCTACGACGTCCTTTTTGGACTTCCTGCTCTTGTTGCGTAACGAGCAAACCTGGATTTCGAACCACGATCGATCGTCCTCCGAAATACAGGAGGAAAGCCCTATGCTGTACCGATGAGGCTAACCCTTCGTACCACCATCAACGCAGTCCCACGGGTTTCGCCAATGATGGCAGGGACTCTCCGCATAATCTCCTGGGACGAATCCGCAGATTGAAAGTCATCGACGAATGATGCGGACAGCAGTGATGAGGACAATCCGGAAATCTCGAAGCTAGCACGACAGCGTGTTTACAACCTGCCACCCAGAACGATAGCAAGAACAATGCATCTGACCAGTCAGAGCATTCAAAGGACCAAGGCAATGATCTTGGGTGAAACCCTCGTACAGATTTCAAGGATGGTCGATTCCTTGGAACCCCCTCAAACCTTGTACGAAGGAATCACCCCTCTCCTCGCCCAGTACAGTGACAAAAAGCATTACTGCGACATTACGGATCTACCGAGGTCCCTTTTGACACCCGCAAAAGAAGTCCGACTGTTGCGCTTGGGGGCGGAAGCGAGTTCTTTGGAACCCCCTGGGCGCCTCGAAGCTGACTCGGACGAACTCGGAGTAAAGATCGCAACTAGGATTGTACCATGGCAGGATGTTTGTGACGGAATTACCCCAGAGGGACACATGGCCATTCGGGAAGAAGACGCCCAGATGATGGTCACGGTGTTCTCCTGGCGATCGGATCACTCCTTCATTTCTGCACCCCCGCCCGATGTGGCGAAACCTGCACGCACAAAACAGATAGATGTAAGGATCTGGGACCAGCATTTCGAGTTACACGTGCCACAGTACGTACCCGATGAGATTCATCGATTGATTGCGGACATTTTGGCAGAATATCGGGAAGCGATTAGCATGACAGACACTGACATTGGTCTGTCGTTAGTTATTCAACACGAAATCCAGACGGGAAATCACTCCCCGATCCATTGTAAGTCGTACCGATACTGCCTGATAGAGCGCAAAAAGGCTCTCGAACGAATCTGAGAATTTGAAGCCAGCGGGTCGATTGAACCCGCCACCGGACCATGGTTATTTCCCGTCGTACTAGTGCCGAAGAAAAACGGATCAATTCGCATATGCATCGATTATCGCAAGTTGAATGAAATCACGATTAAAAATGTATATCCCCTCCCCCGAGTTGATGATTTGTTGGATGCAATTGGTTGCGCTAATTATTTCAGCAAGTTTGATATCCGGCATGGCTTCTATCACATTCTGGTGAAACAGGAAGATCGGCCATAGACGGCCTTCGTGTTGTTTGAAGGCACGTGGCAGTGGGTTCGGTGTCCGATGGGGATTTGCAACGCGCCTGCCACGTTTCAGCGAGAAATGAACATGACATTCCAGAACTTCGTTAACAAGACGCGGCTAACACAGGGGATGATCAACTTCTGGGTGATCGTGTACATGGACGATATCCTTGTCTACTCAGAGACCTATCACGGCCACGCGCAACACATCGAGTGGACATTGGGAGCGCTGAGAGACGCTGGGTTCAAGATCGCGCTTTTTCTCTCGGAAATTTCATTCTTGGGCGACATCGTGACACGTGGAGGACTGCGGTCGGACTCAAGAAAGGTTGCGGCGGTAAGAGAAGCCTCGGTTCCCACGTCACTGACGCAGGTTCAAGCCTTAGGGTTGGCGTCGTACTATCGTCGCTTCATCAAGGGTTTCGCCGCGATTGCACGGCCACTAACGAACCTGCTAAGAAAGGATCAGCCTCTCAGCTGGGACGCGGAGTGCCAACAGGTTTTCGAAACCCTCAAGGACGCTCTGGCGACGGCCCCTATTTTGATTCCGCCGGACCCCTCGAAACGGTTCATTCTCATCACAGACTGGCAACCGAAAGCCATCTCCGCTGTTTTAGCGCAGAGGGGAACAAGGGCGTGAACACGTCATCGAATACGCGTCACGCACGGTACCGGACGAGCGAAGGAATGACTCAGCACCTCAAGGCGAATGCTATGCAATAGTCTGGGGAATCCAGCACTTCCATCCGTATCTCTACGGACAGAAGTTTCACCTCGTAACAGATCACGAACCCTTGCTGGCGTTGAAGAAACTCACCAATTACACGGGCATGATTGGCCGTTGGGCGGTGCGACTACAAGAATACGACTTCGATATCGTCCATCGAAAGTCAGAGCGACACGGCAACACGGACGGACTAACACGTCTGCATCGACCTACCAAGGTACCAAAGAGCGAGGAAATCACACCGTGGAAAGAGTCGGACTTGACCAACGAGCCTAAGTATGGACAAGTGGCAGTTCTCCTACGTGGCAAGAAGTAAAACGATGACAATGGGTGATGGAGGTAACCCCACTACCCCTCTCTCTCCCCTCTCCTCTTCGTCTCTCCTCTCCCTGCCCAACAAATTTTGTTATTTTTGCGAAGCTATCTCCCGTGTGTACTCGGTTTCCATGCGTCCTAACGGGGAAGGGTATGCGGACTGGATAGATTGCCGACAGTGTGTCACACGATCCCATGGCTCGTGCATCCAATAGAGAAACGATAGTAAACCGTGGTTGTGCCCCTTGTGCCGGACTGACAAGGTTCCAACCGAGGCTCGCTTTTTGGATGCCACGTCAGAAGGGTTGGAAAAAACCCGAAAGTTTAGAAGGGTCGATGTATGGACTGATATCCCTTTGATTGCCACTCTGGTTGGCAACCCCCTTCAGGATTTCACCAAGGAAGATCGAAGGAGGGCCAACGAGAGGGCTCGGGATTACAGATGGATAGAGGGCAGATTAGAAAAACGGAAAACAGACGGCAGTGGGATTTGGATGGTTGTACTGCATCCATTCATGAGGTATGACTGGGTTAAAACGGCACATGAAGAAACTGCAGCTCATTTCGCCGTGCGGATTACGGAGTCGGCTATCGACAAAAATGAGTGGTACTGGTCCAATATCCGCGATGATGTGAAGTACATCGTCGCCAACTGTCAAGTATGCGCTGCTAATAAGGCGTCGATTCAGCCGCGAAGATCGATAGTGCCAACGGTAGTTGAACGGCCATTTCAAAGAGTCAGCATGGACACTACCGATATAGTGGTGCCCCCTGGCCCTAATAGTTGCGAGTATTCAGTCCTATTGGTATTTGTCGACCATTTTCCGAAATGGATCGAGGCCTACCCTTGTCGCACACGAGAAGCCGCCGAAATCGCGCGATACGTTAACCGTTTTCTCGGGATGCACCAGGATACTGAAGAGATCCTGACCGATAACGGGGCCGAATTTAGGGGAGAGGTACTAAGGAATTTGGTCATACATGGCGTCGCCATACGGAACACTGCACCCCATATGTCACAGTCCAATGGGCTGGTGGAAAACGCGAACAGGGTGATAAAGACAGCGTTGCGACGGAATATCGTGGCACGGGATCCGAGGCCCTGGCCCGATATCGTCGACCACATCCTGGCGGCTCATCGCGGTACACCTCACGAATCGACGGGGCTAAGCCCTTTCCAATTAAGGACCAATAGCGTCGCTTGTGTTTCGATACCAAGCCTACCGGATGAATGCACACTGGATCGACGACCCACCAGGGCCACGGCTCGGGACAAGGCCAAACGACACTTGGAACTAATGGAACGGTCCTTGCCCAGGCTAGCCCGAAAATGGCATAGAATGACCGAATTGGCCCAGGGGCGACAGGTCCGAAGCTACGAGGCCCGGAATGGGAATGCAGGCCCACGGCCCCAATACAAATTAGGGGACATCGTGCAGGTGAGGAAATGTGCTCGCCAGGGTAAGCTAGCGCCACGATTCTTCGGGCGATTTCACGTGATCGAACTCGGACCGAACGACATGAACACCGTACGACTTGCGCCAGAAGTCTCTGGCAGCCGATCGGCTCGCCCAATCATCTGCCACGTGTCCTACCTCCGTCCCCTTCCTCCTTCTCCATCTTCACATTCATCCGATTCCTCCTCCCCTGCGGAGGAAGGCGACGACTACCTCTCTCCTATCTCTCTGTCTCCTTCTTGTTCTCTCTCTATTACCCCGTCACCATCGCCACGAGCTTTGCAACAGAGCAAGTGATCAGTGCGCGGCTTCTTACTCCGTGAGGGCGAATCAGCGTCATACGGCAGGTGCAGTGGCCCCATCTCTGCTCTGATCTCCTCCGGTTTGCAGCTTTCTTCAGTACGTCGGCGATCTATGTGGCGGCAGAGTTCCGATTCACGAAAGAGGGAACTACGCGCGTTCTGGCCGAGATCTCGGCCTTTTGACGACTATCGCCTCCCGGGATTAACCATATGGCCGTCGTCGTCATCTTTACAGGAGATATCACAGCGATTCCGCCGGAGATTCACTCCGACATCTATCGGACGTTGCGCACCTGGGCTGGAGAAGTGCGGACAGCGTGGACCGATCTCCTGGCTCGACGAGGGGACACCGTCGTTCCGGCACATGACACGGACCTCCAGCTCCGCTCGTCTTGAAGCTCACCAGCGATCGTGCTCCCGGAGCTTCGTCCCTCCGCGCCGCCCCAATGAGTCATCGTCGCGTCTCCTATTTTGGTCTCCCCTCCAGCATCCCCACCCTTTGGCAGTTTGCGCGGGCTCCTACTCTCTCCTACCGTGTTAAGGAGAACAGTGCGCCGCTATTGAGCGAGGAGAAGTGGGACAAGTGGTGGGAGGACTATATTGAGCTCGCTTTCTGTCTATTGGAGATAGAGTTCTGCTGGTCAGAAGTGGCCCCGTTCGGAGAAGGACCAGAGCACCCGGAAGACAACGTGGAGCTTCTGATCATCCAAGCCTGGAGAACAGCGGAGCAAGGCGACCTGCTAGGAATCGTATTCAGGAAGGTGGAGGAGGGCAATCTCACCTTGATCACGGACGAGTTGCTGGTGTTTCTGACTCAGCTGGTGGACGATCTGCCCCTGGATATCTTGTCACGAAGTGACAAGCAGCCTGGCACCCACGTGCTGTCTCGAACGCTCGAGCCGCACCTTGTGTGCTCCACGTGTACGAAGATTGACGAGGACAACTGTCTCTACCCCTCCCAGGCGCTTTACTTGGAGATCGACATTACCGATCTCACATTTTGGGACCCGATCGCAAGAAGAAACGCGGCGCAGGACGAGGAGATAGGGGAAGCAGAGGAAGAGGAGGAAGAAGAGGAGCCATCAGGCGAAGAACAGGACGATCCAGGCTACGTATCGGAAAGAGAAGCGGAGTTGGAGTACGAAGGATTCGAGGCCGAGGTGCGCGCAGCGGCCCGAGAACGAGCGCAAGAACAGAGGAAACGGAAGCGCCAGGAGACTGCGCAGGGAAAGTGACCCACGAAAAACATTTCCCTTGTCGATCCGTCGATCGGGGACCCGTGGCGTGATCCGAAGCCGCCAGAAGAAGAAGACAATGGAACCACAGCAGAGGGATCGCGAAGCAGAAGAAGAAGAAGTGAATCGCCAGCTCCCTCTGGCTCCCCGTCCCGACCCTCCATTCGTCTACATCAAGATCTCGGCGTTCGGGCTTCGTCCCCTGTCATTCTCTCGCCGACCCTGTGATAACCTCATGCTCACCTGTCTTCCCGATAGGCCCCCGTTCCCCGATGGTTGGTGTCCTTTCCCCCATCACCTCTTCTACCATCTCTACGCTACCCGCCTTCTCGTCTCCGTTTACCCACATGCCACCACCCGCTCTGTGGTTGATTCCTTTCTCCTCCATGTGCTCCTGTTTACCGGAGACTGGCGGGAATATAACCGCGTAGAGATCTATTGTATTATATCTGGAACTATTCCCGCCTCCGAAAACTACGAAGATTTTCGCGCCGCCCTGCGACGGACCCTTTCTACCATTTACCCCGACTACATCACCGCTTTTCGCCATCTTCATGAGGACCCTCGCTTCCCCCGTATCCATCGCTCCTTCCACTACGCTACCCTTCCTGATTTCGCCTCTCCCGCCATCAATCGATTCATGCCCCCTCTTCCCCTGAACAATCCGCCACCTCCACCCTCGATGATCCGACTGCCATTTCCCGGGAACGTCTAGGGTCTAGGGTCTACCCTCCTGTTGCACTGATGCATGGCTAATGGACATGTGTCATAACAGCGTCACGTGTAATCCCCCTCCTTGGAATGTCGAAAGGCCACCCTGAGGAATTAGTAGAAGAGCATTATTGCCACGTTGGATGACGTCCACACTCAATTGAACGGTAAGTGGCATAGAGAGAGATGCTCCGCGTGTCGATCGATTAGAGAAATCGACACGTGTCAACAAGCAAGCAGGAGCTTGCTAATATTGGAACCCCCTGGGCGTCACATATGTGACGAACCACTCTCCGTAACGCGAGACTTTCTGCGCAGCTGCAATGAGGGGTCCTAAGTTGGGAAGGTTGGGCCAATTACGGGAGATCGGGATCGGTAGGAAATTGCATCAGTGTCCTTGCTTTTTCGTCTTTTCCGTCGCTTCTTTTCAAATGGCAGGGTTCGGAGTTGGGTGTGTCCTGGGATGGCCGGTTGATTGATTGGTTGACCGAATGGCGGGCGCACCACCGCGCGCGCGATTAATAAATGTTGACGTCGTTTCTTTCGTTTCGGTTTCGATCTTTTGGGCGCGGACATCGCGAGGGAATTTGCTTCGTTCTTTTTGAATTTTTCTTTCGAGTCTTTTTCGAATTTTGTCGAGACCCGATAGCTCTCGGAATTTCGGGCCTTCCCTCTGAAGTTGTGCTTTTTGCTTCTTCGCCTTAGATAGGAATTTAGGAATTCAGTAATCAGGATTTTTCTTGCCGCATGGCGCCTTTTGTCTACGCGCTTCTTCATGCGGCTGCAACGGTACTCTGATTAGTAGGCGCCTTTAATCGTGTGTGTAATTGTAATTTTGGGCGGGCGCCATTGTAACTGTATCTTTCTTCTTGCTCTTTGTCCTTTCTGCCCTCCTTCTCTTTCTTTTGCTGTGTTTTTGAAACTGCGGACTGCATGCTCAGATCGATGCGTGGAGAGTGGCTACGTCCCCCACACCGCGGCCCAGTCATGCAGAACGTAGGCACTCCCTCTCTAATCTCCCCTCTAAGTCTTCGTAATTTTGTGTTCTTCGCGCATGCATGCACGCTATAAATCTCGGTTGCGCGATTAGTTTGCTCTCTTAACCAGTTGTTGGAAGCTTGAGGTTGCGCAATCAGGAAGGGTCGGCACACGAGCGAAGTAAGAGGTGAGTAGAGCAGGAGTCGGGCGACACAACGAGCTGGTGCCAAACGCGCGGGGTTGACGCGGGCCACGACGTACTGTGGGCGCGGGCGAACCTGACGGGTGCCGGAGGACTAAGCAGGGTGACGACTTCGTGGGTTGGTGCACGACGACGGACTGTCCGCAGCGGAGAAGAAGAGAGAGGGAGAGAGAGTTGAGGTGGATGGATGCGGAGCTGCTGTTTCTTTTGTCTCTTCTTCCCCCTAACTAGTATATATAAAAGTTTGATTTCGGCTTCGGGCAGTTTGCCCGTTCTTTTCAATTTCTCGGAATTTTGACCTGGGGTTTTTGCTTACATTTGCCCTCGCGACTCTCCCATCTTTGATGTGCTATGCGTATGATTACGGAATGGACCAATGTATGGACGCTATGTTTGATTGCCTATCTTTTTGTTGAGGAACCCTTGTCTTTGCTTTTGTTGGTCGCATTCGACGCACTTGTGTGTAGAATAGGGATTTTGCGCAATCGATAATCAGGTCTTTGTCTCTGCTTGTCTTTTGATCGAGCTGTTTGTGATCATTGCATCTTGCATAACTCAGAACGTCACGAAGTGATTAGGCGGTCGGATGCCGGGCTCGATGAACGCCGCGCGAGGACACGTGTAAGACGCGATCTAAGTTGCGTACTTACACATATCCCCGGGCGTCGACTCATCGGGACCATCAATCCATCCGATTGAGAAGTGGCCATCTCGAAATCCGCAACAACGCAATCGTCCCGCACAAGCACGCGTAAGTCTGGCGACAGTCACGCGGCCTGCACGTGCTAGCACGCGACGACCGTGATCCGTCCTTAGGCAACTCATAATATCGCAATGTCATGATGACGCGATCCTGGGATTCCGACTCATCCTACGACCGGGATTATTTCACCCCTTGGATAAATGAAATCCTAAGGCAGCGATACCCTTGCCACAATGAGAATCGACTATGTCCGCGGGAATTCCACTGTGCCACCTCTAGCGACCCCCGGTGCTCTGATTTCCCTTCTCCCAACCATACCTACTACTTCATTCACCCGGGATTTGTCGTCATCACCACCAGCTTCCCTCCCTTTCGCCTTCTTCTTCCGTACCATCAACTTAGTGTCGTTCCGTGGCCGGCCATAGCCCCCTATTGGCCCAGCACACCCTGTGGGAACTGCCGACGGCGCGGCGATCAATGAACCCCAGAGTTCCGAAGGCCTAGCCCACACGTGTGACGACCAGCGCCACGTGGCAACTCCCGACAGACGAACCCATCGGAACCCCACCTACCCCGAAGGGACCAACCCCCGAACCGCCGTCCCCGAAACCAATGGCTCGAACCACGCTTGTAACCCGAAAACGCCCTCTTCGCCAAATTACACCCGTGCCCCCGAAAGACCCTGTCACAGGAGATCTCAGTTCTGACCTGGGACTCCACTTTCCCCCAAAAATCCTTGGCACACCCCTTTTCGCACTTCCAGGCCCACATCCCACTCCGATCAGGACGTTGCGTTGGGCGTGAGGTTGGGCGTCACAGGCCGACTAGCGATAATCCTGTTCATTTTCTCAGCTGCTGCAGGATTTGGTCCGCAACAGGTCGGCGTGGTGGTTATAAACCCCTGAGAAAAGTGTGAACCACATGTTAGTTGAACCACCAGAGCGAGTTGTCGTGAACCGAATCCTGCAGCAGCTAAACACCCTTGCTTTGGACCAATCCTCCCTGTCGTTGTCTGCCCGTAGAGAAGGAATAAATATTGAGGAAGCCTAAGAAAGATGCTCCATGCCGCTTTGTGATGACCCATCAGAGATTCAACTAGCATGTGGTTCGCATGCCTGGTCCCGTGATGATTATGAAGGGATACTCCTTGCGAGTTTTTGCTTTCATACATACGACGGCAGTCAGTACGGCACCCTGACATGTCATGTCCAGTTTGTAGATAGGGGCAGGAACGACAATGCCTCTATAATTGCGGTCGATGTGCCTCTGTGTTCCTAGTATGCAGGAGCCATGTTGCCTGTGACATCTGTCTGCACCACGCCATTCGATGCAGCAACTGTGACTGCAAAAATTGGATGTGGTGCTTCCACAGTCCACACCCGAACCGGTCCTATCCGGTCTGTAGGGGTGGCCACTTGCCATAGGCGATAGCTTCTCCTCAACTCAAAACCTTATGCAACCCAAACACTAACCTCTTTCAGGTGTCATTCTAGAGTATTATGTTACAGCGGTAAGTATTTAAAATTTTGCAAAGTTCGTCGTTAAAAAAAAAAAAAAAAACCTCTCCCCTGCCCTTTGCATGTCATACTTTATCTTGCCCGTCACATATTTCTCTCCTGCCCTTTGCACTCCACCTCCCCCTACCCCACACTCCTATAGAACTCTGCCTTTTATCCCTTTCCCTTCACACTCCCCTCCACCCTCCCCTTCTGTGTTATAGAAAAATACATACGAATGAGCATCGATAAGAGAACATACGATATGAGGATCGTAAGTGAAACGAACAGGAGTATGAAGACGAAGGACAGACACAAACACTAAGTCTAAGCTGAAGATCTGAAGTGAAATGAACGAAGTATGAAAATCTGAAGAAAATGTACAGGAGCATACCTTCCCTTTTACTCCGCCTCCTGTTATAATGTGCAAGTGGGCTGTTAAGGCACACGGGGATGTGCGCCGGTGCCGCTTAACCACCGTCAACGTGCGCTGTTGCCCCACAGAAACCCCAATAAACATGGTTCAGAATGGTCAAAATGGTTCAAAAAGGAGCTATTGCCCCACAGAAACCCCAATAAACATGGTTTAAAATGGTCGTATTATGATTCATGTTGCTTGTTAAAGAGGTGAATTCCTTAATTGTTGGGCTGGCTCAACTCGAGTTTACTCGTTTGGGTGGAATATGGGCTGTTGTGGTGGAAACTTGAAACACACACATACACACACACACACACACACACATGCAATGACTTGCTGGTTCCAGGCTGCCTGTAGCCTATCTCTGACAAGGCTGTACTTTAGGTAGGGACAGATTCGTATTTTTTTTGGGCTGAGGGCTAACCGAGAGACCTGCCTGTATGAAAAAGTCGTGAGGGACATATCTGTAAATATAGAAATGGGCCCAGTACTAACTGGATTTTCCTACAGCTACCCTAACTGCGAATAGCAGACCCAG